AGGATGGGGGCTTTGGGGTGCTTCTCCTGCCCTCGTTCAGAAAGGATGATCCCCTTTCCCCATGTGGAGGGGCTGGGAGAGGCACTGGCAGAAGGGACCCTTCAGTGCTGCAGCAGACCCGAGACTCTGGGCACCTGGTCTCCACTTAGTGCTCTACTGCCATGACCCTCCACAGGTGATGAGGGGCACCTCCTCCTTTGGGGAACCAAGAGGCATTAGACCAGCTATGCCCTGGCAGGCACAGCCCATGTTAGGCATTACCTAAATAGGATGGATACTGCAAAAGTGGAGAAATCTGTTAGCTGTCCCTACTGGGCCTTTGAGAACTTATGATTGCTCTCCACACTGTGTGGGAAACTTTCTAAAGCTGATGGGACCAATTGCTTTCTCATCCCCACTTGACTCTCTTTCCCTCTGAGGCTTTGGACCAGTATAATGATATAGACATTTTCTTCCACTGCCCTCTTCAGGCCCCTGCCTTCATTCTCCCCAGCTTCTGATACACCTACCCCTGACCAGCACTCACCTTCACTCTCCTTTTTATTCTCCTGTGTATATCTCAGAGGTCCTGGTGCAGCTTGCCTTGGTGTGGTGTTTGCTTTCTGACATTCCCAGAGGCTCAAGTCAAGACAAAAGCCTCGTTCTGTCAGTCACTCTATGAATACATGATTAGGCACATTCCCTGCTCCAAAGACCTTTTGATCTAAACCTGCTGGTTTTATTGCATGACATTAAATTCCTTTCCCAGTTTGGATCTCATTCTTTTCTTGCCCCTAAACTGACAGCAATTTTATTGCAAGCAAGTAATTTCCCAGACAAAGTTATGGTCTCTTTTACCCATAGGTTCTTCCTTCTTATTCTGTGTTCTTCTTTCTGCCACAAATTATCTTTACTTTGCTATTCCGGCCAGCCCTTTAAGATGCATTTATGGTTTACAGTCCTCTTATTTTCCAGCTCCTTGTTACACTTAGGGTTCAGCAGGTACTGTTCTCTCTGCTCTCTTTCAGAGGGAAAGACGAGCTCTGCTTGCTGGGGCGTTTCCCGAGCTCTCCTCGGAGAAGGCAGCAGCCCCACTGTGGCGCGTTCTGGCCTCGGCAGGTTTGCAATGGACACCAATATCATCATCTGTGAGCACCTCTGCAGAACAATGGATTCCGAAGCAAAGACAAGAACAAAACAAAACCAGAGGAGTGACTCACACCAGTGCCCAGAGAGATAAAGGAAGAGAGAGAGGAAGGCAGAGAAATGACATCACAACCTCATCTGCCTGAGGGCACAGAGGTCATGTTAGCCAGGGAATGAAATAAAATTGACTTTTCTGAGGGTGGCTGGGCAGGAGGAGTTTCTGTTTGATTATTTTAATTCTTCCAGACTACCTCCCAGGGTCAGGTCACCTAATTTTATTCCAATAATGAAAGTACTCTATTATGAAAAAAGAAAACACATTATTTTTTTCTCCATCCAATCCAATGAATTGGTTTTTGTGGCCAGTTTGAATGCTATTTTGACCACTTGGCAGGTTTTATATTAAATACTTGATAATTTAACAGCCTGTTACACCAGGATAAAAATATCACTCGCCCATGTGCCTGTTTCTTGCCCTATTGTAAACTAAATGAATTAGGAACACCTTAAGCCAATATAAATTTCAAATACAATTCTCCAGTTGTTTGAATCAAAAGGCAGTATTGATTATTTAATTACATAGAAATGATCCAGATGCTTAACATTTACTACAGATTAATGACTGTCCCAGAGCAGTTAATGGCCCTTCTTTCTGCCATCAACAAAAGCTGCTTATTAATCCCTGGAAAATGGCTTGCATAACAATCATAACCTGCTGTTAAAAGTTTATAAATAGATAAAAGTGTCACATGGATTTATGAGTGCTAAGGCTGAATGGGATCTGTGTGGCGTTTCTAGCAAATGAATGCCATGTGCATGAGCTCATCTGATTGCTTGAATTATCACAAAAACCCAAGTTGCTCTTTTGGATTAGAAAATGGCACGTAAGAAAGTGCCAAGTGGCTGGAGTCCTATCTACTGCCTGGGAAATAATTACTTAGCTGCATAATAAAGAGGCACCTTCCTTCTAACAGCAGTGCTCTGCCTTTTTTATTGTATCATATGAAATGTGTATAAGGAAAGCTGTGCTGTTTCATTACTTCACTTGATTTTTAAGAGGAAAAAACACTTGCACATAGACACACACACACAGAGCTCAGCCAGGTCCTCCCAAGCACAGCAACAGCTCCAGCTGGTGTAGGAGCCTTGCTAGACTAGGATCTGTACTATTCAGACAAAGGTCTTTGAAGGAGCCCTTTGCACCTGGGTCTCTGCATCCCACACTGGGCTGGGTAGAACACTGAACATGGTATGTACTGCCAGTGAAAGGTGCTTTTGGAAAACATGTTGCTCCTGGAAGAGCTGGGAGGGCATGCAGACCCTGGGGGAAGGGGTGGTGGAGGGCAGGGATTTACAGCAGCACTGCATTCCCGTATGTGGTAACTGTGCCCCACCACTGCGGTGGCACTCACACTGTCCCTCCTGCCTGGGAGCTCAGCTTCAAATCAGTTTGCAGAGGACCCTGCTCCGGTGGGGTTACAGAATCCCCATCCAGTCACCTGGACAGCTGTGTCAGTCCCTGGCCCTTCAGTAGCCACTGTCCCTGTAGCTAGCTGTCTTCAGCTTCCTAACCCCACCGGATGAGCAGTAGATGGTTATTGCATTTGAGCTGTGAATAGTAAAAGTTATATACACATGCCATTGCCTGGAGAAGCAGAGTAGGTCTGTGGGAGCATCTTGTTCCTATTAAGAATTTAGGGAAGTGGCTTCCTTCTATCCAGCCAGACCGCAGACACTGAGGTAAGAGGAAAGCTGAGAAATTACTGTCTCCTTCAAAGAATCAGACAGGAGGGCACCTGATGGCCTTTCTAAAATTACATCTTCCAAGCCTGATAGCATTACTGCTTCTGTTTTCTGTTATTGTCAGTGTATCTGTCTTGATCAGGCAAAGACATGCTTCGGTTTGGCACTGGACCATAGAAGGTTGCTCACTGTTAGAAAAGAAGTCACAAGGCCCCAGTCCCTTGCCCTGTTCACCTCTCCTCCAGCACAGAGGCTCGGGGGCTCGGTGGCCCTCCTGCACAGCAGCTGGCAAAGGGGCTGGGATGCAGGAAAGGAGAAGGCACATGAGTGGGCTGTTGCTGCCACTCAGAGGTATGGGATGTTCACTTGGAGCCAGCGCACTACTCAGGAGGTGTGTGCAGCCTGCGATTTTTCTTCACACTCTCAACACTCTATGAACTGCAGCCTCTCCTCTCCTCTCCTCTCCTCTCCTCTCCTCTCCTCTCCT